AATAAAATCTTTATTGCCAAAAACATTGCCCGACCAATAAATTTTAAGTTTTATTGCCAATTAAAAATTTGTTAGGGGCCCGTGTCAACGCTACTTGTGATGCGACACTGCGGAAAAGATGTCTTAATCGAATAAAAATCATTGCTGTTTTTATGTACCTATAGTTCATTGGAAGAAAATTCTGGTGAATCTACTATGTCTTGGCATTTTTTATATTCAAATTAATTTCAATAGAAACCAACGTAGTAGGTTTCTATTGACATTACAGGACATTAAAGACTTAGCTGACTATCCTGTGTAAAATTATAACTTAATTATCTGTTCACTGATTGGCGCTGCTCGTTTTGAACCAGATTAAAAAAATGATAGCGATCTCACTATCACACTCACTACGTGAGGCTTTCCAGAAATACCGTTACAGATTTTATTACCGGGAGGTTTTCAATAAATTAAAGTGTTAAGGTATTCGTTAATAAATGAATACAACTGTGGAATCCGAATAATTTCGAGCTGATAACAATCAACATGAACTATAACAGATTTAAATCAATCGCTTGCGTCTAGCTTACAAAATATATAGACACTTTTATGGTACATGTGATAAAATATTTAGTTGGTTATAATGAACATTAATATTTATAATATAAACGCAAAAACGAGGTGTTAGATATAATATAAAATATAATCGATAAGGTTTCTTCGATGTGTTAAACATTTTTTAGATCCCTAGATAAAATTAAAATTTTTTTAATAGTTGCTTATCTTGACACATTCATACTTCCTTTTTGATTCGATGTGGAGGATAAACCTTTTTAAATAACTGTATAAATTAATAACTAATGCTGTCAGAGAGAGCCACAATTCAATGGCGTATCAAGCGGGTCAGGCGAGACATGCGTGAGCCGCTGCTTCAGTATGTTTCTCATGTTCACATCACATTAGTACCTACATGTATGTTTTCAGCCAAGAAAATTGAATAATTCTAAATATTTTGAATTTTCATCACCAAGAACGGCGGTGACAACATTTTTAACATAAAGGCAATGTTTCGCATTGTGTTAGCTATGTCCTGTCCAAATTTTTGTTAGTGCAACTCTCATGGTTTCGACAATGCCTGTAACAAAAGCTGGAACGCGTGGTATTTTATTTGTTAGTTCTCGGAACGGAGGGGCCAAAAAGTAAAATATTTCAGTCAACACTAATTTATCAGAGAGTGAATGGCTCTCAAGTAGGTATGGCGTTGTTTTTCGGAGAAATTTAGCAATATTTCATCATCTCATATCATATTTCGTCATCTATTGCGTCTGGGCGCCAGCGCCAGCGTAGAAACCCATACTTTTAATAACGCGCGAAATCACGAGAAGAGCGTAGAGGTTCCAAAGTAGAATTAAATCAAATTGTTAAATTGATAGTAAGTGGAAAAGAAAATAACAGATCAAGTAGCTGGTTTTTTGGACGGATTTTCCAAGCTATAAGAGTATATTAAATAAGATCGACTAATCCGTCCCGTATTTGCTACACGGAGTCGCTAGAGGAAGGCTAGGGTTACTTGTAAACGGCAGCCTTTGCTAAGACAGTCTTTGCTACCTTTACTCCCTTGAACCTCTTAGGATATAACATTGCGTTAAATAGACTTGCGATATATTGCTGCTTCTGATGCCACTTTTAACATGACAAGGACGTATTGCGAAGGTCACAGGAGTTCAAGTAATGTCAAAATCTCTTTCGAGGACACCGTGTAGATACACGGAACCACTTGGTGATGAACGAGGCGTTGTTATCGTCCAGGTTCAGCAAAAATCGCCGCGCTCTGGTTTGCATGGCAAACTAGTACAATTTGTGCGTACGTAATGTTACCGCGAATCCTGTTTTACACCATTATGCAGGTAGCGCCCGAGATATATTGGTTCCAGTTGCTCCTGATGAAGTTACACGGTATTTTTGTTCTGTTACTCGGTATTGCTCGCTACATACATTTAGCAATAACCGTTGCCGTCGCGATATATTTCGCGACCGAGCTTTTTTCGTTTTATTATTCTATTTGCTCGGAAAAAGTGGTTCTGGTCTTGTGCTAAATGGATCTTGTTAGGATGGAGTACGTGATAAATCAAAATGGCCGTAGTAAATCAAAAGCAAGAGCCGCAAGATTTAGTTATTGTGATATTTATGATGTGGTCTCAGTTCTACATTCTCACGATAATAAAGTTATTCGCGGTCTGGCGTTTTCGTTGCTGTTGTGATTGAATGAATAATAATAAGAATATTTAAGTTTGAAAGATACGTTTTCTTTCGGTGAACAGAAGCTTTGACAAATTTTGTTGGGTGTACCTATTGCTTGCCCTTAAAAACAAGTTAGTCAAAGGCTTATTTTTACAGTCTCTGCAATAAATAATTAATTTTACGTTTTAATTAGCACCTGGGGTTTTTCGACATGGGCGCAATGTACCATCGAGATATAAAAGGAATACCAACAATCACTTAAGTAACCCTCAAAAGTTTATGACCTGCATAATTATCCTCATAACTGTAAGGCAACATAAAATTAAATGATATTTTAACTGGTCGTTACAAACGAAATACAACTTAATTTATTTACTGGCATTGCAGGGCATAAATAACTGATCCTACTCGCTTGTTTGGCGGTTAAATAAAAATTAACAGGTTTTTAAATTGAAACGACCCGAAATGCCACTGAAATTTGGTGGTAAGTCGAATGTGACCAATGCAGCTGAGTAATTTTAATTATTTTCTTCAGAATAAATACTTTCCGGACGCATATGTTTGGAAAATGTGATATATCAACTTACCTACAAACAATTTTTGAGATATATTACTTAAAAAATATAAAATGCAAAACACAAACACTTACATAATTTATCAAACAACTTTAACACTAACTCTTTCTAATGCAGATACTTGCCGCATACTTTTTTAGTTAGACCTTTTAGTATTGAGAATATCACAATCACTATTGTAAGAAAGAGTTAAATCAATAAGTTAAAAATATAGTTTCCTGTGATATGCAAAGTAGCAATTTGGCAACAACGCAACTGCTTCCAACAGAACGAACATGCCCCTTTATTCTTAGATGTCAAATATAACATCAATAAGGTATCTTATATAAATGTTACAGAGGGAATGTCATTAAAATAAAACCATTTATACGATTATTTTGTAAAAAATTTACGTCTTTTATTATTTTTGCTTGCATGCCTTTTTGATAGCAACGTAAAGAACAATATTATTGTAGTAGAATAACAGCTACCCATTTAGAATAGAATAGAATATGACCCATGGGTAAGAATTAAAAATAAATACAATAACAAGTATAATAAACTTTCAATAATCTGATACATGTATGGCTTATTAAAACCAAGGTGTTACTTTCGTAACTGTACTTGTCTAACGGTATGGTAAAATTTTATTATATGAAGTTAGAACATTGTAAGTTATTATTGCTTAATAGACAGCCATAGCAATATATTTTGTAAAAAAGGTGACACAGAACCTTTCATACAGAAAATTAGTAAACGTGGGATTGATGTATTAAATTTTAAATTTGTAGAATAATATTCAGTATCTATTAATTAAGAAAAACTGACTTCGTTCATTTTTATGTCAACATATGAAAAGTTTGATTGAAAATAGTTCAATCTTTTACTAGTTTTCTGAATATTATAAAAATAAAAAATAAATTTACAGAACACGTAAACTTTGTTAAATATCGTAATTAGAATTTTTCAATATAAAAATTTTTAAAAAGTTATGCATCGGCCGGGAATCGAACCCGGGCCGCCCGCGTGGCAGGCGAGCATTCTACCACTGAACCACCGATGCTTGCAACAAATTGTCTACTTTTTCCAATTTACCACTAATATAGCTACAGCGGTGAACGCAACAAAGCAAATTAATTACGTATTTAAATGTGCTGTATTAAAAAATAACTGAAACAGTTTCCACAAATATTACAATGTAATTATATTTGATAAGAACTGTGACACCACCAACATTTCCTTTAAGTGTATTGTTGGTTGCATAACGTCTACCTCAAATCAATTTATTCTCTTTGTAATTATTATTCTGTTTTCAATTCAATATCACTTTAGTTAGGTTCTTGATTAAAATACAGAATTCTGAATTAAAGTCAAAATGCTTTTTCGTTTGTTTAAATGTGCAGGTACACTAATTTCTTATTTAAGTATATTAATTCGTTGATCATTTTGGAAAAAAAGCACTCATTTTACACAAATAAATTGCACCTCAAATACAAGTTGGTATTAAAAATAACACCAAGTAAATTTGTACAATAAGATGTTACAGAAACATAAAAAAATTGTAACTACTTGATTATAATTAATGATATTGGGGAAACGACTACAGCTCTGCCTAGCATTGAACTACACTTGCAATATCAAGTAAACAGCTAAGTTTATTCATTAGCAGATGTAGACATATCAGTTGTCATTAGTATGACCTAAATGAGAAAACCGATTTAGCTACTTGAGTAGTCTATCTATGTTTTGGGGGTGGGTGAGATGTAGACTACAAAGTAAATTATATCTTAAATATCATTGCTCAACACTTACTGAATGATCTTTACTAGATATTGTAGGTATACTTTAATACTGAATGGGATCTATAGTCCGCAGAGTTGTGTGAGCTTTGTAGACATTTAATATATAACATATTTTAAAGGTTATATCTCAAGTACAATAAAAAATTATTAATATAACTAAACAGAAAATGAAAAATGAACAAATCAAGCCACCTTAAATATTTTACTAACACTAAACTAGTTATGTACTACCAAAACTTTACAAAAATCCTTATATTAAATCATTGAGTGACGGCACTATTAAATTCCTTTCATCTCGAGTCTGCCGCAACAAGTTTTTTTCATTTTTAAGCGAATAGTCTCACGATTCTTCCACTATCGTTTGCCTTAAGTTTAATGGTACTCACGTTAATTCATTACTTTACAGGTACCGGTACCACAGTTGGTTTCAATGTCGGAATGGGACGATGGGCAATGTATTTGGATTAATTGTTCAGTAGTTGTGACTGAAGTGTTGTGTAACAGTGTTATACGTCTTCCTACACTGTTGGAATTCTGGGTGTCTGATTCTTGGGGAAATGTGGTGCTGTAAAAGCAGAATGAGGATCAGGAAGGAAGCGTAAGTGTTAAGTATGTCAGTGGTTTCAAAACTGTTTGGGGCGATACAAAAATAAAGGCTTTTTCTATACTGTACAGAAATGAATTGAAATACAAAAGACATAAATCAGATAAATTAAAGTTAAGAACTGGAACAAAGACTCACTGAAAAATATTCAAAAATTACATAGGAATCTTATCAAAATCAAAATTCATAGAGCTTTTCTTGATGTCACTTGAATTTATTATCTACTGCTTATATTTTTTAGTTGTATTGAAGATTCGTTCCTTTTTATTCTAAGTTTTCATGAAATTAAAGAACTCGCTTTATAAATATCTAGTTGTTGACGGAAATGTGAGATCAGCATTTTTAATAAATGAAAGAGGCGTAAATAGTAGCAATAAAGAATTAATTACAATAATTACTATACATACCTTTAGGAGGGCATTTTCCCTGATTTAATCTTGGTCTCAATGGAAATATACTTTGTTTACATCTCTTATATTTAAATAAAATTTTGATATTCAAGTTTACTGTGATATATCGGTTTGAACTTCCTATGTACATGGTAGTTGAAGATGACAGAAGCAATAATTTTAGAATAGGTTTTCCGACTGTTTTCTGAAATTCCGTTGAAGGCCATGTGCTTTGATGACGTATCGCATAAGGATTGTGATGCAAATATGTTTATTTATATAAGTTTAATTGTTTACTTTATACAGTAGCACAAAAATGGAGCATGCATTTGCATTTATAAAATATTGCAAATGTTTGCTGACTGTGCACACTGCACATGAATATGGAAGTTCGTTTCCCGTCAATAATAAATTAATATTCATAAAACTAACTGGTATGATCCTAGGCGTTGTATTATAAGATTTGGTTTTAAGTTTAATTTGTGAAAAACAAACCATTTTAAAATTTATTTTGACGATGTTTCCATACGTGAGACAGGAATGCCTTCATTCTGACATAAAGCGGAAGTAGATAAACTGATCATTTTCGAAATATTCAGGGATAAGAATATTCAAAAAAAGAGCATTTCATTTTCCAGTTTTTTCTTTTTAATGCAGCGAAAATGAGAACAAGGGTGCAATAGATTTACCTATTTCCTAACAATGATGGAGTTTTCCAAGACAACAGAAATAATAGTATTTATTCTATCGAAAATATGTTCTTAAATAAATAGGACGCTTTTTGAGTTTAACTTCTGCAAGTCCTTTCTGTAGTTCATTTCTATTAATTCATTAGCATCAAATATTTACTTTGTTACTATTTATGTCACAAATGTGTGTTAATGGTCTACAAACAGAGCTGTCGGACTGCAAAGTTTATTTATGGGCCCCACCCTCCTATATCCAATGTGTTTTAAATAACATGTAACTCTAACATCTCGTAGATTTTTAGAAGTAGGTATTAGTCGTTTTTTATGCAAAAACCAATTCTTGCAGGTAATAAAACACAAGATAGAACTTACAACTCACAAAAATGAAGAAATAATATCTGCGAAGATATTTGATTATACAAATAGAACAACCGTTTGGAAGAAAAAAATAATTTTTGTCATTTTCCCAAAACAAAATAAAATGTAATATAAAAATACAGCATTTTTTGTTGATTTACCGCATTATCCTATAAATAAATAAATAATTCGAAACAGAACACACTGGGAAAATAACAAGAATATATTTTTCTTCCAAACAGAATAGATAATCAACAAACTATCAGATTTTTTTTTAAATCAAGGGTAGGGAGGTTCTGCTGAATAAAGTACCCTGTATACCCAAATTCGGTAACCCGCAAGATTCAATCATTACCAAATTAATACCGCCACCCGGCCATTTAGACCTTGCTCTTATAGATGAGGAAATAGCACTTTTCTTTCAAATAGCGCCCTAGTGTGAATAATGAACACCTTGAACTGGCCTCCTTACCGATTGTTCATTGTTTCGTTTTTGTCACCTTATTAAATTACCAGTCCTATTGTACACAAATTTCATCGGATTAAAATCCAACGATTTAATTATAGAAGAAATCGGATAAAACGACGCTGATCCATTGGAGCGTATCACTCGAAATGGGTCTTGAGCGTTGTCAGTTCTACAAAAAGTGCGTAGTTGTAGTAAATTGTTTATTTTGCCTTGCAATATAAAAAGAAACTGTAAAGGGCACAAGTCACCGTGAACTTTTTCCAATGCCAGACGTAATAATAGGCACAAATTTAAATATTTTTATTAATTTTTTTTCGACAGTGTGCACAAAGTATGAAACTTCGAATCACTTGTCATTCAAGGTGAATCCATAGTCTATTCCTCTGTTAGAAGATTAAAGGAAGAAATAACTTCATACACACAGATGTACAGGGTGTTCTAAAGTTCGCGTCTCGGGCCCATAACAGGCAAACGAAAAACGACAGTAAAAATCTGTTTAGATGACCTGAATAGGAACTTTCTAAGGTCTGTTTTGCACTTGAAGAACATTTTTTTCAAAATTCGGAAAATAAAAAATTACTGAAATTGTAACTAGTCATGACTTAATCAATATTGCTGAAACTGCTGTCACAAGTCTGTTTATACAGGGTGTTTCATAATGATGTGCATATATTTTAAGGAGGTGTTTAAAAAGTAATTTTAGCCCCATCCTGTATATTAGTTTCTGTCAAAAGCTGTTTCTTGCATTATAAACAAACTAGTAAGTGGTTGCTAAAAATTAAAAAATGTTCACAAACAACGAAAAAGTTGACATGATTTTCATTGATGGTGAATGTCAAAAATATGCCAGAAGAGTTGCTAACAAACGTACCTCACTGTAAAAGACATTTTAGACATATTCCTTACATGTTTTCTTTTACTAGAATAATAATTATAGAAAAACCTAGTTAACAAATTTTCTACAAAACATGTGGATCGACAAATAGAAACAAAATACTTTCTTAATATCAACAGCAAGTTAATTGAAACAAATTGTGTCATATAAGACAGTCGAAAAGGGTTAGATTTATGGCAGCTTTTCACAGTAAAAAAAAATACATTTTTTAACCTCGAATTGTTACGTGCAATACACAAGATTGTCGTCACTCTATTGATGACGTGAGAGATTGTAAATAAAACTGGTTGTAATTTTTTTCCTTATCATTCTCGATCTTATTCATGTCGTAAAACAAGTGGAAGGTACAGTAAATAGTACATAAATACCTTAAAGCTAGTACGAAACAAATAATATTCAAAAGTGAACTTAATTACAATAAAAAATTGGACTGTCCAAAACGCATGCATAAATTCATCAGTTCCTTCGTGAATTAATTCAGGAAATTCTCTTAAAACCTCTATTATTGCAGACAATTAACTATTTGGAATCCTTTACTGGCACTTAAATTGAAGACGTTTTACTAAATAATATTGTCGTTACATGCCATCTGTTATAGTTCGCATATACCTACTTGTGCCACTTCACGTGTTTCAGGACAGTAAGCTTGAGCTTATAGGCCACTAAGCGAGGTGCTAACAGCTTCATAAAACATCGAAATAGACAATAACTGAGTAGGAGTTCATTCGGCAGCAACGAAGTCTCTCGAGGGATGTAAATAACAAACATCAAGGTAAACTACCTCCGGGTGATTTTGGCCTTGCCCTACTATGACGAACTTGACCCGCTCGCCAAGCGGTTGGGGTCAGGGAAGTTCGTATTGACTGAAGATCGTGCTTCCTACTATCCTACTATGTATATTATGCAAGAGAGAAGTGAGAAGAGGGAAGGTGCGGCCTTAATATTATGAATTTTATAGGTGTAACAACTATCACAGATATTCGATACAATTGAAGATTATTTGGAAACTAAATCAGAATTATTGAAAATTTGATTCTATATTACTGGAAATAAAACCAGTTCTTATAATCGTCGATGTTTCGTTGTTTTATTGCAACATCTTCAGGACTTTATGGAAACTATAACTATAAAGTCTTAAAGATGTAATAAAACAATGAAACGTCGATGACTATATGTATTGTTGCAAATAATAGGCATTTAGTCTATTAAACTTTATTTAGTGGTTATTCGCGTACTAGCTAATGCAAAATGTCTCCATATTAAATATATGTGTTGTACAATAAATGTAAAGATCTATGGATGTGTAATCTTTATGGGGACACGTCTGTATCCTTAGCGCTTACGATTCTAACTAACTATTCTTAGTTCCACACAGGACAACAAGCACTAATCCGTAGGTACAGGGTCCTTGATTCCTGGAAGGTTGCTGTGGGTTTAATCGAAGCATCCCAACATGTATAAATAGGCTTTATTTCCATAAGGTTGATAAAGCAGTGGTATATTTTATAGCAAAATTGTAATATTGAGAAAAGATTAAGCTATGACACTAATAGGTATAGAAGGCCAATATTTTTAATATCTCAAATTTGTTTACCTTCTTAGAGGAGTTGATCTTGCATCTTATATAAGCAATTCTAACTAACATGTTAAATTGGAAAAAATTGCAAGGTGTATGTTCTATTCACATTAATGAAATTAATAGACTCTTTTAGTGTAACATCACATATTTAGGCAACCCGCAACAAATTGTCACAGTTAAAATTGTACAGACCGAATCTAACCCTTGTGTACTATTTACATAGATATTATAAAAATGAACAACATCTAATTAATTTATTTTTGCAAGGATTTGGAAGTATGTAAGAACAACCAACACATGTTTCATAAAATAGATACACTGATATGCTTAAAACTTACAAAAAACGATTTAAAAGAATATTTAAATTTTATATTAAATTTAAATAAAGTAAAAATTTAACATTAGCCTAATGCTCATGCTCGGAAATTATAGCCTCATACGCAGGTGAATTCTTGTTGATATGTTATCGCTGTCATCATTAGCGTATTTTCTCTTTAGTTCTACTATTGTAAGTATTGTTATTGTTTTTCTTGATGATGTACTGTGTCAGTGTGTTTATCGAGTGTTTTTTTCTTCAAGTGGTTTATTATAGACGTACTCTTAACCATAACCAAAC